ACAGCTCACGCACAAATAATCTTTAAAAATATATTGAAATTAACAAATCAAATAAAAAAATATTTGCACTTAACGTCGTTATTGTCGGGTTTTTATGCAGATAGCAGCTGTCGTTTTTTATACGAGACATTTATGGTAATTTCATAACGAGCTTAATGGTTTCTTAGGGGTTGAGCCGCGTCGCGTGTAACGGAAAGGAGTGGTTAGCCGGCAAATGTAAGTCGGAAATGCGTGTAGATGTTGCGCTGTGTTAAGGAAAAGGGATACAAATGTACACACTCTCTGCACGCAAGTCTAATTCAGCCATCAGTCTAGAAGTGAAGGTAATTCATTTACCACTTACATAAAACACAACGATTCTATTACGATTAGTCTGCGCCAAAGAAATACATCGTTGGGATCGTAAGAAAATTATTGGTCTAATTACGTACGTGCGTTTCTTGAATTAAAACAAAATAAAGAAGATAATTTTGCAGCCGGTTGTAAAGAAGATAATTTTTATATTTTATATAAATCTTCTTACATACTTTCTAACTGAAGAAAACTCTGCATTGAAAAAAAATGTAATGTGCAAGAGATACAAGTGATGGAATTTATAAGGCAAAGCTCGTTGTAAAATACTGGGAAAAGATAACGCGATGCGCAGGTTTATCATTTCTTTGAAAGAGAATCTAGTTCTTGAGCATATGATTCACGTCACTTTAACGATCGCGCGACACACACGGCGCGCATGATGCGTACGTACAATACACATATCGATAATCGCAAATATTTCAAATCGTTTCGAGATAACCTCGTGTGTTCTCGGTAATTTTATCGTGAGATGCAGACTAAGCTCCGCGAATGCACTTTGCGTGAAAAAAAGAAAATGCAATTTCTATCGTTTGTACTAGGATTTTCCATCTTATCGAATTTTTATTTAACGTGTTTTGCCTTCGTACAACAGAAAATTTCTTTTTCCACGGCTTTTATCATCTTCGCCGAAACCGCATCTGGTTTCGTAATTGCACAATTATCGGTCTAAATGAAATGATTCACCACTCATCATTTAGTTCAAAATCAAGACCGAATTTGATAAACAATTTTAATCGTTTACATTGCATTAAATTACAGATAATGGCGCACTCAATTAAGCGAATTTTGTGCGTTAAGAGAGAAAATATTATTTATGATAGCGACGGTTTGACCGGAGATTGAGTGACAGTGGGAATTAGGCGGTTACATATTTTTAGCTGTAATGTTGCGTCGGTTGTTTGTTATTAATGCATATAATTAATACTATATGTACCAAATTATCCAAATTATATAATTCATTATAATGATTATGTACTATTGATATCGTTAATTTAGCTAGATGAAAATACTTGAAATTATGCGGATTCGCAGAAAGTCAGAATCGAAATTTGATTTAAAATGTTAAACAGCACAAAATACTCTAAAACCTCATAAATGTTTTAAAATATGTTACTATGTAATGTAAAACACACACGTTGTTGAGCACGTTGTGCGTGCTCAACAATAAATAATACAAATATATTTGTTCTACAATTTTATTTGTTCTCATTGCTTTGATTGTGAACCTTCGATGGTTGTTTATAAATCATTACACAAAGTATCGGTAAATTCATGAGTAACAATTTTAAAACAGATATTAAGATAAATAAAAATGTGATTTGAACTCCATCGAGATAAAGTTTCAATTGTTCAAGTAAAGTTGGATTGGAATCGAGTTCTGAAGATCGGACAAATATGTGACACACACGTGAAAGAGGAAAGAAGTAACAATAATTACATTGGCTTCACTGAATATTTGCAAATAGGAGGAGGTTTCTCCCATGGGTGTAGAAATGACAATTGAATCAATTTAGAGAGCGGGTTTGATAGGCCGAATGACACGTGAGCGCCGTTACACGACGGGTGTTCTGAAATATTACGCTGGTAGTGTCGCCAATTATCGCCGACAGCGCGCGAAAAACGTAATGGACGATTACAACTAACATCAAATCGCGACACTTTTGGACAATAAAAAGTTGGGAATGTGCAAACTGCCCTGCACCCGCGACGCGGCCGCTGTGTGTTGACAAAACGTGATTATATTTTGCTACATCATTCGCGGAATATCGCGACCAAATGTCGAAATAATAACTGCGCGCGGATACACACATAGTGCGAGAGAAATGCGAAAACAAAATAATATTATCAGGGTCTGCAAACTGTATTATTAATCCTAGATCAATTTTGAATTTGATGAACGTATTAAATAATAATTCTAACTATAACGGATATATCTCAGGATAATCTGGTTTTGGATTATCTTATGTGTATTTTAATAACATTGATGTATATTTCACCGTATAACAATTACGTGTGTTTTTTTTTTTAATACAAATTATATAACGTGATTTAAAGTTTAAGCTTAACGTGATTCAGACTTCTGGGTTTTAAATCGTTTTGAATCCAGAAAGCGAACCATTTCCGTTTTCTTATACGAGCCCGTTTAATTCTATATATATATATATTCTCTTAGCTTGCGCGGAAAATGGAATCTTACTTCGTAATTTATGATGGACTTTTTGACAGTTCTTGATTGAAGTCCTTGCTTGCTTGTCTTATCTTTCCATATGATATAAAATTAAAAACAAGTGCAATTCCTCTTATTTTGAGATTAAATCTGATAACTGCAAGAAACTCTCACAATTGGTAAATAAAAAGGAGAGAAGAAAGTAATGTCAATTGATGATACATTTGTATATTTTGCAATGCAATCAACTGATCTTGTTATCGCTAATAACGGAGTTACGCAGTAAAAAAAAAAAGATTTTGTATATTATTCTCTCCGTGCAAATTACATTTTATGATAAATATCAGAAAAAAGAATAAAAATAATAAATTTTATATGTTTGTGTTGTTTACGCACATGAAATCTATTTTTCTTGCAATATCAAATAAATAGAAGTGACGCGATCACGCGACTGTCATAAAGACAAGGAAGAGCTTTTGTTATCGCGTTATTGCTCTGCGGGAGGTATCATTTTTCCAGGAATTTTTCAAGATTCACCTGCGTACGTTCTTAGATAACGTGTTTACACCTCAGGGATATTTACACAATCGATGAAATCTGATAAACGATAGTAGTGAACATAACAGCGTGTGTGTGCGTGTGCATCTCAAAACATCCTTAAGATGCACTACACACTGATTATATTTCAAAAAAACTTATCACTTCACGTACATTTCCCGTTCTATATAAAGTGAACTATCGTCGAGAGATTTCAGATCACTTCGTACCTGCAAGTGTAAAAGATACCACACGTGAACTCTCTCGTAATCTTTAATTCGGAAGCCACTTCTCTACGATTCTCTATCTCATAGAGCAGCAATCTATTAAGATGGGTAAACTGATTGTTCTCGTTTGTCTTGCACTTATCGCAATGACCGCGGTCATGGCTTGTGAACCACCTGGCGCTCATGTGAGTATCATTGCGTAAATAACGTGTTCGAAAACTAAATATTGACGAGCATTTTTATATCTTTTAATTTTTAACAAAGTGTAAAAATTTTTCTTAGCGCATGTATGTACTTGTTTTGTATCAAAGATAAAAGTTTCTATGCCGGTTTCTATAATTTTTGTCTAATATCTTCACAGTGCAGTGAAGACGCACAATGTTGCACACCTTTCGTGTGCAACCCATGGGCTGATCGTTGTACCGGAGGACCGAACGGAAAATTTTTACCGAGAAATACCCAAGATAACGGTGTCAAATATTAATGGATGATAATAAGTCGGCCTGGATTTAGTTGAACGGAGAAACTACGATTTTATCTCGTATTTAGTGTAAAAATACCAATGAATTTAATGTACAGTTCACTTTAATTCAAAATATATTTGCTTCCCTCCATCGACATGTAGTAAAAGTTCTTTTAGAGTTATTCGAATTTGTGTCGATATTAAACCTTTCTCTTGTCCTATCGTCCTGGTTTCTTTATTCTGTCAAAAATTTAAACCGTTACAAAGATACGATAAAAAGAGTGTACGCAACGCATTCACACTTTCGTACGTGTTTAGGTCATAAAGATAAGATTTACATATTTCGTTAACATAAAAGTTGCAAATAGTTGCAGAGTCAAAGTGTAATTATTTTTCTATACAAGATTCCGTTACATTTAATTTCACAATATCTAATTATATATTAATTAGTTTTTGTAAATAGGAATTTTCCTATTGTGCGTTTATATGTTATATAAAATGTATAAGTGTTAAAATCCTTTTGGTTAGAGGAATATATATATGTACAACTTACCTGATGTATATAATTAATTTCATAAATAGAAAACAGAAATAATGAAACTATCATGTAGAATTGTTTTTTTATACTTGAACACATCACGAAATGTTTGAAGTAAAACATCAAATACTCGCATTGCGAGTGTCAATAAGCTGTGCACACAGATGGTTTCTTTCAGTCGCGTACATAAGATAATCAGATATCAGATATATTGATATTTTTAACTTACGCATTCGTGATACAAGGCATAAAGTGTATAAATATTCGTTCGAGATCAACTACCGACCATTTGCGTCAATACAGTTGTTCAAGAAAGCGGTGAGTTATATTCATATACATTCTACATCTTTCTACATCTTAAAACTGGAACATACTCGTATTCTCCCAATAAACTTGATACTGATAATTAGCGATAGATAATTCATTTGTTTTTTAATTAAAACGCTTAGAATTATTTTTTATAACAAATCCATCCAGAGTTTTATTTCGTTATAATATTTTATTGACCTTGTGTGTACACGTGTGTCAAGAGATAAATTCACATAGAAGCATTTTTTATTGCTACATAATAGCAAGTATTAACAACACTTCTGACAGTCGAAGTCACGTGTACGTGACCTCATTCAGTCAGTTTTCGTGACTTCGATTATCAATCACCGGAGTCATAAAAAAGACTTTTTACTTACTCCGTATTCTTATAACCGTATCTCTCATTATTATTGGCGCATGTGTCGTAAACACACGTCACAGATGTCCTATAAAAGAGTGCACTTGCAAAAAGTGCCCGCAATAGTTCGTGAGCGACAGACGCTGACAGTAGGCCCAAGATTTTGTACGAAAAGCTTTGCGATCGTCGAAGTTACTATATTATTATATACACACGTACCCCGTGCAAAATACTTACACGACAACATATAGATATAATTACAGGAAAAATCAAATCTGACATATAAGAAAAATGAGGGTTTTTATTCTGACCATTTTCGTTATGATTGCTGTGGTACTAGCTGCTGCTCAGGGAGAAAAAGCGAAGTGCAGTCCTATAGGTAAAGCTGTAAGTATTTTACACTTGCATATATTTGAAGAAAAAAAACTCAATGTTTCTTGTGTATTATTTGTCTGATTATATAAAACAAATATAAATGGAAAAAATTCATAAAGTTTTTGTTTTTTTATGTTACGCGCATGGAAATATAATTTCTTATATTTTTTCGTCAAATCTCTTACGTTACATTTCCGAGACATCTTCATATGCGAATATCATATTTTTCAATTATTTTTTCAGTGCATAACTTATTCCGATTGCTGTCGTCATTTAGATTGTTTGTTTTATGCTCATAAATGCGTGTCAAGACCAGGTCCGCCCGATCCCAACGATAAAAGACCTGTTGGTCCGAACTAATTTGATTGAACAATAAGAAAGATTCTTCCGTAAATAACAAGTATGTTCTTTTCTTTTTTAATATATAAATGCGCGCACAAGATGTAACGTATATTATAATAAAAAAAAAATGTCATGTTACATTCACACGTACACACGCACACTTGAAATAAAGAACATATAAAAACTTTACATATTGTTCGTTTACTGTACATGTATTGTACTGCCACTACAGGTTTATTTAGTCATTTATTAATATGATCGTAACACAATAATTATCATTCTATTATTATCGTATCGTGATAGCGTATATACAATATCCTCGCTGTTTCGACTGTATTTATTCTGTATATGTTTGTAATACACATGTGTATAAACTGACGTAAATATCAACCAACAAAATAGAAAAGTTTTTTAAGTTAAACGCTGTTTGATTCTTCGTTTTCGGAATTTATAAATAATATTTATAAGTAGTTAAGTGTTGTGACAAGAAAGAGAGAGAATTTTATTTAAAATCTGTTTTTCTTTTATTAATTATCAGAATTGTGTACAAATTTTGTTTTCGTGAAAAATATTTAAGAATGTGACACAAGCAAAAACAAATTTATATTTGTCAGTATAGAATTTATATTATTTACGCACGGAATAATAACGAGAATAGATAAAAGGAAAGAAAGTGTTTGTGGGATTACCCCGTGTACACAATGAAATTTGTACTTACAATCAATAATTCTTTTGGTAATGGCTAAAACGAATTAGACAATCGCGCGGTCCATTATTATTATTTGGAGGGATTATCGTAAATACATCTGCGGGTATAATCGGATGCGCTTGAAATTTAATATATATTATTACACACTATAGCTCTTGCTGGAAACGCTATGTTTAGTTGTTAGAGGCATAATTAAATATACATCAATTAATCAACTAGGTAAATTGTACACGCAAAAATAATAGAAATTTGGTATTAGTAGTGTGCTTAATATATTAAAAAAAAAAAAAAAAAAAAAAAAAACTAAACTCTCACAGAGGTAAAAGTTAAATAAGAAAAAAAAAGTGTTCAAATCAAACTGCGCGCGTCCAATTTGACTGCGCTCGTTTCTTAAATATTAATTGCGCGTGTCATCAAAACGATTTATCCTAAAGTAGAATTGCAAACGTTACTTAATTACGGAGCGATGATTCAACTAGCACATTCTGCCGATAAAAGTGGCTGTGTATAAAAACACTATAAACGTTGCGTAAAACATGTGTTTATGGACAATATAAATGCAATATAAAATGAGCATGATATTTAATAATACAGAAATAATTGGTATTACGTTGCACTTTGTTAAACTGGATCTGACATGTGCACGCACTCTTTATACGTTTATATTTTCACCAATTAAATGCAAATTCTCGGATATTTATATTGTTTCATATTAATTTTCAACAATATGTATATAGTCAAAATCGTTAACGCGTTTTGTATTACCGGCAAGATAAAAGCTATTTAAACGTATATTTTCTAGTTATTTTGTATCGTTTATTTTCTATTTGCACTTATGCATCACAATATGTTTAGAAAATTACTGCCGGCCACGTTTTCGACTAGAGATTTAGAAACGCAATGCATTTTACGCAATGCACGGTTATGACAACTTACATATAAATATTTATTGCGTACATTTCTTAAACGTGTCATATCTACGTAGATAGACTGACACTTGGAAAACTCAAAGCGGCGATAACACTTGAGTCGTACAGACTCGACGTGACGGCGGTAAAAACCGTCAAACGTGAATGTCGCTTAAAAAGCGTCAAGCATGTCTGCCACCGTTGTGGATATACTAAAAAGGTTAATTCGGCTCATGATGTGTCGAAGCTTCGCCGATGACAGGAAAAAAACCCCGACTATTCCTATTCAGCCACTATGGGGCGAACAAAAGGACAATGCTGCCGGATGATTCAGTTTCCTTTCCTGTTGTTTCCTGTCAACCGAATTAAAGAACAAGAGCGCTTTGTCGGGGAATCAATGGAATGCACGAGGCGCGCAATATGCACTCGATAGAATGCCGGCGCAAAGGGCAAAAAGCACTTGTGCATTCGATACTGTTGAAATGGAAAGAGAATATCAGCGGAAGAAGCCTTTTGCGTTCTCATATTTGTCGCTCGTGTGCGTATTATAAGATCTGTGATAACTGAAATCACCAAAATTCACGGCAACCGAACAAACAATTTTGCAAAAGCGAGCTCAAGACTGACGTAACTATAATAGATACTGCCGATAGATACTGTTCTTTATATGTACCAGCGTTCATTAACTTCATTAGACATTCGAGCCGCGTCGGAATTGCTACAAGTGACTCGTGAATGAAAATATAAGTGACTTATTTTAAGTCGTTAAAATACTAACAATTTGCACGAACAAAATTAAATAGTTTACGATGCACAAAGAAAAGAGAAAATTACTCTATTTTTATCTAAAATAATAATATTGCCGTGCACGCGCTGTAGATTACGTCAATTTCAAAAATCAAGTCGTTTCAAATGACTTGTTATTTTACTAGAGATATATCACATCACATTAAAAAATAGTTATCTAATGTCAGAAAATTTTAATAAACAACAGTAGGAATTCCATGAGTGATACCACGTGTACTTATGCGCGTAAAGCTAATAATAAAGTAATCGCGAAATGTAATTATTGATAAAGTGAGAATATTGCGATCTGTTCTGACTTTATAATTTTCTGATGTATTAGAATAAAAAAATTATTATAAGGAAAGTACGATGTCGGGATTTTCAAAGAAATCTGTCTTTAAAAGTATACTGTTTATATAGAATTTCTGGGATTTACAGAAGAGATAAACACAAAGAAAGAAGCATGATACATATAGTAGCTTATATGTCTCACATATGTATGTATGTATATGTTTCTCTGAATTATTTATGCGTCCACAGGCGTGCTACATGACGTAAGAAGTCTGTGTGAGTGAGTAATCGTATAAATGTCTTAATCGTTGTAAGTCGACAAGTCAGTCGAGGTCGAGCTGTCGAGACATTCAGATTCAACGTTTGCTTGAGCGTCCAGTGAGTATTATTTATCAACACAAAGTATAACTTCTATTTTTTTGTAGCAAACATCCGATAGTTTTAGTTATTATAATCTATTTCAATTTTTTAATCATTTGTTAATTAAGAGAAAATCAGGCTTACAAAGTTCTATTGAAAAGTTTTAACACATATAGTGGTAATTATTTAAAAAATTTAAAAGTTTAAAAAACTTTTCGTATGTGTATGCACGTATAAAAAATACTTGCTTGTAAAATTTTAGATGGTTATTAATTATGCACATGTACGGAATTATATTACGTGTTAAACATCGTTTTCTCTTATCTATTATTTTTCATCATTATTTATTAACCTGTCATTATTGCGTAAACTCGGTTATCTATAATTAAGATAATTTAACAGTACATTAATATCAGTTTTGTAACTGAGGAATAACAGTAAATTATAAAACATAAATTTAGACTGTAATTGCTTTGTTCATCAAAGAGCCAATTGACTCGGGCCTTGATGAATCACTCACCTGTTACCAGAATGGTTGCGCACTAAGATAAACCTCATGGACAAGGTTTATCGCATTACATAAGCTGAATTTTCATGAATGTCTGAATCTGTTCTGCATAAATTAAAAATGAAAGCAGCAACGGGTTTACATCAGAATGACACAACAAAAATGACGAAATCACGTGTCTTTTCAGTTTATCGTTAAAAATATATTAATTACGCTCACATATGTATATATTTTTTTTACAGTTTTGTAGCTTTATCACGTTAAAGATCTTTTTTTTTTATGTAGAAAGTGTGAAGAGTTCTAATATTTACATTTGTTTATATTGCAGACTACATCGTTAAAAAGATGGCGAAAGTAATGCTGTACGTCTTTGTGGCGCTTTTAGCCGCGTCTCTTATCATGGGGGCACCCGATAAGCGTAGAATCTCGAGTCAACTATCATCAAGTACCCAGAGGAACTGTGGCCGTCACGGTGACCCCGTTAGTATATATATTCTTGTATATTTTCTGATAAAGAGAAACAATGTGCCTTCAGTTTTGAAGACACAATATCGAACACTGTATTTAACGAAGAAAACTCACGATATTTAAATTACAATATTTCCAAAAGTTTTTTAATCCACTCAAAACATTATTACAGAATTTTCAATATTTTAACAAATTTATTATGCAATAGTTTTTAATATTTTGGCAAGTTTATTGTGACGTATTATGTAATATTTTGTTTCTTGTATTTTTCAGTGCGTTAGTAGCTCCGACTGCTGCACCTCTAATATGATATGTCACAGGTACGCGAATAGGTGTCAAGTTCAAATTACAGAAGAGGAACTGATGGCACAACGGGAGAAGATCTTGGGCAGGAAAGGCAAAGATTACTAATCTAAAAATGTGTGTGATTTATAGTTTTATATACTACTAAATATTAACTCTCTCTCTCTCATAAAAGCGGTTATAAAAGTTAGAATATGTAATTAGAATCTGAGTAATCCTATGACACACACACACACACACACAACACACACACAACACGTATCAGAAGACAATATTGTAAAAAATTAACACGTTGTGTAATAACTAAAAATTAGTACACATATACATACTCAATGCAAATGTAAGTGATACCTCGAAAAAAAATCTAATATAAGCAGATTGTGTCTTGTGCATCAATAATTTTTCTCAGAAATTTGTGACACTTTTTTTAACCAGAAATATGTTCACAGATGGTCGCATAATAAAATTAAAAACAATTTATTTGATTAATTTTCGTGTTCGTTATTGGTCGTTGACGATCAGCAACCTCCACGGATTTTCAGAAATACCATTTACTATCAAACGCCTCCGTCAAGTTTCTTAGCGACAAACTATTATAATGTCCACTTCTAAAAAAAAACCTTGTCGACGCACGGGTTGATGAAAAAGGACATTCCGGGATTGTCGAGTGACGAAAATTTCGAGCGGATAGATCCGTCGCGACGATCCCCCGGCTTTGTCTGCCCTGTACGCGCCTCTCTACGTCCCGTCTGTTATATTCGAGGACATTTAAATTCGCTATCTCCTATCTCGGTTTACCGTACACTCGTTAAAAGGCGAACCTTTGTTCGATAAAAAGACTTCGCCGGCATATATACATACACATATATATATATATATACGTATATCCGCAGAACGGAGTAAAAATCCCACCGGACTCGACATGTTACGTGGCGTGCGAAGGACAGGTGTGCGGAGGGAGGGAATCCCCGCTCGGGGGTGGTTTAATAGCATCGACTTATCTTTCGATAAGCCCGTACCAGAAACCCGCCATATGGCCGATTCGAAATCGCCGGTGAACGATTTCTTTCCGCGTCTCCAGATTACGACGGATAAGTTAATGACACAAAAGGCATTGTCATGGTTGCCGTATCGCGCACCAAATCCGTAAAACACGTTCACTCGCGATATCTCGCGTGATTAGTCAACATTGGCGCGTCTTATAAATTGACGCGATTGCGTCTCGGGAAAATAACGTAAAACAAACAACGTGAAACAACGTATGAAAAAGTTTTGCCGCGCGGCAACTACTTAGCCCCGACAACGACGTTGACGAAGAGTTCGCGAAATTTTCAGAAGTTCCTTTGTAACGTTCTACCGTGAATTTATTTCATCGACAGGCCGAGAAGCCTTTGTAAATTCGAAAAGTAGATGGACTTTGATTCAAAGACCAAAAGCTTCTTCGGTTCGTTATACAAAATTTCCGCCGTGTTCCAATCTCATTAGCGTCGGCTTAAAGTTAAGCGCTCCAACTCTTTTGCGCCGGACCGCGTGCGCGCGCGCGCTCTTTGACCATCGCGGTGTTTCAACAAAAATCTAACCTTCTTAGCAAATTAAGAGAGAGACGTATCTGCAATCGAGCGAGCGGGAGAGAAATAAGAAAGAAAGAAAGAAGATATATCGAACACTATTATTCTGCAAAAAAAAAAAAAAAATATCTGTGTGTGTTTTTGATAAATGCACGTTTAATTAATGCGATTGATATAATATCGAAACCCAAATAAATTAATCGAAGCTTACGACAGACGACGCAATGATTCGAGATGGTACTTCACATTTTAATTTCCATAAATCTGCGCCTGCTGCGGCATCGATAAGGCAGAAGAGCGGTTCTATACACATATAATCGGTCGCTAGTAAAGACGTCACCGCGCAAATATTTGCCGTCCCTTATCGTTCTCCAGCTTAATTGCCATATGGCGTCATATAGTCATATTTCACAAGCGTGTTTTTTGTCTTATGTACCTTGTGTCTTGCACGTACACAACTTAGCGGATGTTCGCTTTTGATATGAAAAAAAAAAAAAAAAAAGAACAAAATCGATCGATCAGGACAGTTTTATAATTGACAAATAAAAAGTTACGCTGTTCTCTCGCATTACGACGCGCATTAATAACTTCCGAGATATTCGAGCGACTTTATTCATTCGGCTTGACAAGTCTACTTATACGATGTATCCAGTCGTCATGTGGTTCTTGAAAAGAGAAAGCGCACGAGATGAGCATCGCATTCGAAGTAGTATCAAGGCCGCGCTGCGAGGACGGACCAGTGGGATCCCGGCGTCGAAAGCCGCGGTACTACAAAAAGTAAAGAAGGAGGAAAAAAAAAGAAAAGCGAAGAAGGATGCACGAAGAGAGCACCGGAGACAAACGGCAAGCCGAGGCAAGTCCTCGACTCGAGTCGAGTGTCTCTCTTCGTGGTTCCTTTTAAGTTCTCATCCGCGCCGAGATACGCCGGGTCCTCCAACTCTGCTTTTAAGCTCGTTCCCGCGCGGCGGATCGCGCCGGATGCTAAAAGATCATGGGCGAGTGACGTATAAAAGTAGCACGTCAGAGAAAGAGAAAACGAAGGTTTGAAGATAGACGCGAAGAGAGATGAAAAGAACGGCCCCGATTTCTGTCCCATTCTCGGATCCACTCGCGCGCGCGAGCCACAAGAAGCGACAAGTAATGCCGCGAAACATGCGCGGACCGCCACAATATGAAAACATTATCGGCCGTAAGCCGAAAGGCACACAGCAATGTGCTGAGCTTAGCTCGCAGCAGCCCCGGCTCTGCAGCGCGATCTCTCGCTTGCCGCGGGTTGCGCAGTGCCACGTCAGGACGTCAGGATTTCAGGTGGGTACTTGTCCGCCCGGATTCGCATGGCCAAAAGCGCTTCCCCGAGCACGGAGAAAGGGAGGCGCACCGGAGCCGATTCGCCGAAAGGAATACGCGGAGTGAAGGGGGAACAGACTGCAGCAGTTTCAGGTCTGTGCACTCCGCGCTCCAAATCCCCGACGAATCCACCGGGAAGAGCGTTAATGAAACTGTCGCCAGATTACTCGTCGGTGCTACTTTTCCCGATGGCGCTTCGAGGACGCTCGAGGACGCTCACGCGCTCGTCTTATGCTAGTCCATGTGAACTCGCTTCGGTCTAGAAGGATTTAACTTGCGATGATGCCGCGCCTCATCCGATGATGTCGGAGAGACGCCATGGTCGTCGAAAATTATCGCTGATCTTGACATTTCCGACGCGGACGTAGGCGAAAAGAGCGTGCAAACGGACGCTTCGTCAAGCGTCGCGTCCGTGGGCATCGAGGGCGCGTTAGTGATTTTCCGTTATCGGACCGATCCGAACGAGCGCGGGGGGTGAAGTGCGACGCGGGGTGACGAGGACAGGCGTTGGCGGCGAGTTGAAGAGAATGCGAATACGACGGAGGCGACAGAGCGCCGACACGTACGACGATACAAATACCCCGGCTACTTAGAGACGAGGGAAATGGGACTAGCCATTTGGGGCAAACTACCCCTAGGCTGACTCTCACGCGACCGATCTTATCTCGCCGGCTCAGCCTAGGGTCTCTCGCCTCTCGGACGCACATCGGCAACGTACACACGCGACAGACCACGACAGACACGCGCACGTCCGGCTATCTTGTCGCGGAATTGATTTCTTGCATTTGTTATTTCCTTGGGACTCGGTCGGCTTGCTGCTCTTTTATTTTTTTTTTTTTCTATTTCGCCGACGAATCGCGGCGATTAAGCTCGCGTTGAAATATTCACGACGATGCTATCGGGAAACCGCGCGCGAGTCGGGTTTGAAATCAAGACGAGCGTTATCACACGAACGGGATCCACCTAGTCGCGTTATCCTTCTAGCGAAGCCTCTTCGAATCAATAAAAGTTTAGATGCAAACAGCGGGAGAAATAAATGAATTGTATGCGATTGCGATTACAGAATCAATTAACCTGAACTGCTTCGCGCATCGGAGAAAAAAAAAATAAAAAACTGATTTTAACTTATGTTTGTAGAACTATTGTTGTATTTTAAACCTTTATCGACCGAATGTCAATGATGCGAAAAATATCTTTTTTGTTTTGCGATGACCCAGTTTTTGTCGAAATATTGATACACGAATGTCGAAATGTAGCCGTATTCGGTAGCTCAATTTGTTCGAGAGTCGCGATAATCGTTCAATTTCCATCGGCGTAGATTACGACGGCAACTTGGCGGCTGATGCTTATTATTTGCCGGTATCCTCGTCCTGATCAAACGATCCATCGCCGCGAGAGGGTTCGAGAAACGCCTTTGCAACTTGAGCGTGGCGCTTTACAACAATCACACTCCCTGCCGGGGCATTTCGCCGAGATCCTTCGGATTACACGGGGTCGGTCTTGCGAGTAACTCAAGTCGAACTTAACAGTCGGTTAAGTCCGCGGATAGTTCGGACCGTTTGGCTAGTCCGGTTGGGCGCGGAGGGCATGAAGTCCGAACTGTAAGCCACTACGTAACCCCGGCGGCCATGGGGTTTCGGCCGAGGTCATGGAAACGTGCCAGTCTTATCTCGATTTGCATAAATTCATAGTTTACTGCTTCATAGGCCCTCGGAGCTAAGGACCGCCAAACCTTATTCCAAATCGACGGACTTTTAGGACTTACTAAGATCTCACTTTTAATTACGCGATTGTGTCAGATTTCATTCGCAACCCAAGTATTTATTTATTTACAGAAAAATAGTTCCATTGCACCTACATGACGCACCTACTTGTAATATTCGTGTATTGATGCACTTCCAGCTTCCTTTGTAGTCGTTCTGTCGTGAATAACGCGAGAATATCGCCCAAATTTATTAAACTATCGGGATGTATTCCCACGTACGCTTGCTGCACGCACGATTGACTCGCTGACGAGTGTTGGCTATCATCGCTTTTAGCGAGCGAACGCGAAAGCTTTGCTTTGGGGCAATTATAACTGGCGGAAGTGACGCGTTGCTTCGAATAAAAGGGTATTTGGCATTTTTTTTTTTTTTTTTTTTTTTTTTTTTTTTTTTTTTTTTGACGTGCGCTCGTCGGCATGATCGGGACCTGCAGGCAAGTCGAGGTGGGGCGCGCTTTATTAATAAAATATTCGCTCGGCACAAGAGACACAGACGGGGCAAAGTAAGGCATATAATAATTTTCTGACACGCCACCTTCGTGCGCGCTGTCTCCGACGCCAGCGACCGTACGTGACTGCTATCGTCGAATCAGATCAGAAAATGGCGCAAACTCTCCGATAAATAAGATAAATAATGTAATGCCGCCTTCCTCTCTTTTTCTCTCTTTCCCTCTCCCTCTCTTCCGTGCTCGTCGCGACAACCCCTTCCTGCGAAAAACTTTCGAAGTCGCGTGCACGTCCATCAGCGCGAGCCCTAATGCCAGTGTTTCACTCGGAATGGCCACGATTGGCCTCGTTCAAGGAGATTCGCC